AGACATAATACAGGTGTGGTAGTTAATTCTTTAATTCTTAGCCAGTAACCAGGACATGATACCATTACTGTCATTGGGACTTGAAGTCTGCTTGTATGGAAACATGTTTTCCTCAGGTGTGTTCTGAAATGGAAGCTGTAAAAATGGGTGGCTAAAAGCATTCCTTTGTTCTCTGTAAGGCAAGAACTGTTGTGTCAACTCATGTACATAGCTTACTAATCAGTTTTCTTCCCTTTACAGCAAAAATAAAGGTTTGAGTTCTAAACTCCTTAGAATTGGCCTATTGCAATGTTGTTTCTCGGCCCCTCTCACTTTGCCTTCATAGTGAAGTCGATATTTGGGTCATGAGCTCCGCTCATCTGAAGCAGTGGGGTATTACTGAGGTGTCCACAGTGTCTTGCCCACTGCGGAGGAGGGAGGGGCTGCTCAGTGCTGGGAGCCTAAAGGTAATAATAATGGTTGTGCTCCCTGGATGCTGAGCCACGGGGGAATGAGCAGGTAAGTTCAAGGAAGGGAGTACTTTGGAACATAATCTAAAAGTTCCCTTGTTGTATTTCAAATGGTACCTCTTATGTTTGGGGAAAAGTCTTCAGAACATAATGAAATAGTTTTTCATGGTTTTGGGGAGGAGGGAATCGGCTGGGAATCAGCTTCCGACATCTTTGGGAAGCTGGTGTGGGCTTGAGATTTGGGTCTGAACATGTCATTCTGATCTATGTCAGGAGTTGGGCTTCATCTTTCTCTTGCTATATGGCTAAAGAGTGTGGGCTTAGCTTCAGGGTGTGGGTGGAAGCTCTTGGAATCCAGGGAATGTATGTATCAAGCCTGTAAAGACTCTTAGATCTGAGTGGGGAAGTAACAGTGATTCATCAGGGGCACTGACCTCTTCTTGAATTGGGCTGTTGTGTGTCACTGATGGGAAGGTTGCTTTTTAGTAGTCAAGAGTCTGAGCTTAGAAAAGGAACCACCAGACTCTGCTAAAATGGGGAGGTTGCAGGGAGGGAGGTCTGTGGCTCTGCGGTGCTTGGCTGGGGACAATGAGTCTGAGACACACAGGGTGGGGACCAAGCAAAGAATGGCAGTGGCCTGGAGTCTTACTACCCAGAGGACTAGGAGACTGGCTGCTGTGCCATCCCAGCCCCCTGAGTGTGTCTTGTTCATTTCCCTGGCCAGTCCATGGTGATGTCTCCTAAACGGAGAAGCCAGCATGAGGTGCCCCAGAGCTTTCTGTCTGGGCCCTTGGCACTGCCAAGGCAGGCAGCTGTGGGCAGGTGCCAGGAGCATCTCTACGCACCCTTTCTTATGTCTCTACCCCCTCCCCACTTCTTTCTTAACCCTCTCCTTTCTTTGTCCTCTTAACAAAACTAATTGGTTTTTAGACAATGATTACAAAACTCTATAAAAGTTCTGTGTAAATGGTACAGTGTTAACCACCAGGCTGGTAAGGAATTGGTTTACCCACGGATATAAAGGTCTGGTGTTAGAAATGGTTGTGGAATGAGACAGCCGAAGACAGCTGGCTGTCCTCTGTGGCCCAGGTTGGTGTGGAACCCAGATCAATTCTCTTACCTTAGTCTCCCCCAAGTTTGGGGATTCCAGGTTTGAGCCACAGTGGCCTGCAAAGACTGTTCTTTCTTGGTATCCTGGGGGCAATGGATGGCCCAGGGTGGATGGCAGGATTATCACCCCTCAGCAACCTCATGCCTGTTTGAATTCATTCTTTGACCTTTGGAGAGGCTGCAGGTGACCCTGGGATTCAGTGAGTGGCTCTTGTTCATCTTGCATGAGTTAGTGGGAGGTAAGAACAGCAAAAACCTAAGTTCTTTTAAAAACAAAAATGTCTTGACAACAGGCATTACTTCAGACTCCTGCGTGCTCAGGGTGGGTACACTGAAAATTTCAGATGTGGCCTGTTAAGAAAGGGAATTGCATTACCCGCACCGGATACTTGGAGCTGATTTCAGTTGGCTTCATAGGGCCATAGGACTTTGTGTTGCCCAGTCTCAGGAGGAACTGTTAGCATTAGCTCTGTGTGACACTCAAGGTGGCTGTGTGTTGGTATTGAAGGAAAAAAATGCAGGAGATACTTGGAGTGAGATTTACATTGGCATATTCAACACCCAGAGGTCCATGCTTGCATCCTGGGATTGGCGAAGGGAAGAGAGCGGATAAACTAAAATGAAGCTGAAGATGCTGTCCTATGGCACCCTTCCTCTGGTAGGGTACCCCCTCTATGACATCCCCCACCCAGACCCCCGGGCTTCTGAGGGCAGCCACCATCTATACCTGTCCTGCCCCACACCTCTTCCTTGCCTTGGATTCTCCTCTATAAAAAGGATTTACTGTAAAATTTGCAAAACAAATTGGAAAAAGGTTTGTGTTCCATTAGCAAGAGTTGCTTGTATATTTGGTTCAAAAGGAATGATGCTTAAATTCAGTGTTACAACTTGTCTTCCGTAATATATAGTGAACACTTGGTCTTGACATTTAAAGCATCTTTTCTAGTGGCAACCTGATGTTCAATTCCATGCTGTATCAATTTAAACAATTTCATTAGGTATTTTTCTTTTTTAAAATAACCATGTGGGGTGCACTTGTGGAGGCCCAAGGCTAACCTTCAGGAGTTGGTTCTCTCCATCCACCTCAGCCTCTGGGGATGGAACTCAGGCCCCCACAACAGAGCTTTCGCCCACCAAGCTCACTGGCTTTTTTAGATACTTTAGGAAGTGATGGTTTGATGACTTGTGGCTTTTGCTCTGTCACATCTGTTACTTCTTTGACATACACAAATGAATTAAGGAAATGACTGTTAAACTTCTTAACACTTTAGTTCCATGTTGCTGCTGTCCCAGAAGGGATTTTCTGAGTTAATGTTCTGTGGGTATCTGTAAACATGGTATGCATGGACACGCTCGAGTGCTGTGGCCCTGTCAGTAATGCAAGTTAGAATTCAAACTTCCCTTTACGTATTTCATTTCCCCCCACGTGAGTGCCATGATCAGGGTTTTCTATTTATTCATTGCTACTTTGAGCAATTTTTATAGTAAAATACATGCAGTAGCATAAAACTTACTACCTTAGCCATTTTTAAGTCTACAGTTCAGTGGTGTTAAGTAGATTTGGGTCAAGCAGTTGATCTCCAAACCTTGCAAAAACTGAAACTATCCATTAGGGAGCTCTGAACATGCTACTCCCTCCTCCCTGGTTCTTCTGCCTTCTTTCTGTGAGGGACTGCCCTGGGGACTGCATGTAGAATCATACAGTATTGATCTTTTTTTTTCTTTATTTTGCTATTACATTAATTTGAGAGAGAGAGAGAGAGAGAGAGAGAGAGAGAGAGAGAGAGAGAGAGTATGTGTGTGTGTGATGCACGTGGAGGTCAGAGGACAACTTGCAGAGGTCAATTGTCTCCTTCCACCACGCAGGGTCCCAGGGATTGAACTCAGGGGGTTTCCAGGCTTGCTTAGAAGTGCTGAGCCATGTCACCCACCCAGCATTTCCTTGTTTGGCTGATCAGGCTATTCTGGCACAGTGACCTCACCACAGTCCCTTGGTGTAATTTCCTTCCCTTTCGTATAAGCTAAATAATAGTCGACTCATGACTATCATGTTTGACTTCTTTGTTCCCGCGTCGATGGTGTTTGTACTGCGTCCACTCGCTGCGTGGTGGAGGGAAGATACAGCTTTCTGAGACCATGTTTTCAGTTCTTTTGGATCTAGAACAGCCAAAAATGAATGATAGAAAGTGCCATTTCATTGTGGTTTCTTCATGTCACATGCTTACTGACCATGTAGATCTCTCACAGAAATGTCCATTTGAGTCTTTTGCCTATTTTTTAAAAAAAAGATTTTTCTTACCATTGTTGACCTGTAGTTCTCTATGTATTCTGGATATTAACCCCTTATCAGATATGATTTGATGATTTGCTGGTATTTTCTCCCACTCCATAAAGTTGCTTTTTCATTCAGTTGAGGGTTTCTTATTTTTAAATTACATTTATTATTTGTGTGTGTGTGTGTGTGTGTGTGTGTGTGTGTGTGTGTGTGTGTAGACAGGCATGAGCGTGCCTCATTGTAGCGCTCAGAGGACAACTTGAGGGACTTCTTGCCTCCTACCGTGTGGGTTCCATTGAACTCAGGTTGTCAGACTTGGCAGTAAGTACTTTACCCTCTGAGCCATCTTGTCAATCAAAGTTTGGGTTTTGATGTAGTCCAACTTACCTTAAATTTGATTTACTTTTGTGGACTAGACTTTTGGTGTTTTATCTAAGAATTCATTGCCAAATTCAACATTATAAAGCATTTATTCTGTTAGGAGTACTTTTTCTTTTTTGAAACACTAGGCAAGTACTTTCTACCATTGAACCACATCCCCAGACCTTAAAAGTACTTTGTCTTAAATCTATATTTCTGTGATTATTGGCCTGTTCTGAGTATTTTACCCTTGATCTACTGTCTACATTTTCCTTCTTTGACCGTTTAGCATGAATTTTCCACAGGGATCATACGTTGTTTCTGTAGTTGGAAGTTAAGCTTTTGCCAGTTGTAAATTATCAAACCTTTTCTCCTATTTTCCTCTTGTTAACACCAAGGTGTCATACAAGAACCTAAAAAAGCCATCCAGGAAGTCTAATCTTAAATTGCTCATTGGTTTAAAATCTAGGAGG